GAATTAAGATGGGGACCAGGGGTCTGACCCCCGGAGCCCCTTGCTGGTGCTGGCCCTGCCCCTGGGGTGCACTGAGAGGGCAATTGAGACTGAGTGTGGTGGCGCAGGGCTGTAATCCCTGCGCTTGGGAGGTTGAAAACAGGAGGCTCTCTACGAGTCCGATCTACATAGTGAGACCCTGTAGACCCTGTGTCCCCTGTACTAAATGCATAAAAAGAAAAATTGTCTAATCAAACAGTGCTTGCAGCACTGCATGGTAATTGTTATGGGGGTAAGAAGCAAGCATGGGAGGCTGAGATAGGCTTCCCGGAGGAGGTGACACCTAGGACTGTGCACCAAGGGTGACACACAAGAGAGCAACAAAAATGGAGGGAAATGTAAGTATGCGTGATCAGGGTGCTGAGAGAAGAAGAGAGCCGTGAAGATTGGTGTGGCAGCCATAAGAGGACACAGATTATGAACAGGGTACTATTACAGAAAGGGGGATGTTTTCATCTAAAGTTTATTTTATCGACTATCTTTTGTGCTTCATTAACCATGTAACACTTAGTAGATTGAAACAAGTTTTTATCTATCAGGTCAATCTGTGATTTGTCCGTGTAGATTGTGGAGGGAGCTGTGGTCTTGGCTGAGCTCACGCTTGTGTATGCATTCAGGAAGCTGTCACAAAGAGCTCTGGCTCCTGACGAGGTCAACTGCAGTGGTGGAGCAACGGAACCATGCATGGGCCATTCTGCCTCAGGCCAGATCACCTGGTTACATTCGCCTGGCACTTGGTAGACTTCCAGGGCTGAGGAGGACATAGGGCAACCTGCTCAAATCTCAGCCAGGATCCAGCACAGTGCTGATCCTGCATGTTCTGTTTGCCAAAGGAAGTTGTAAAGAATTTAAATAGTAGAGAAATGAGCTCATTTTTCAGGTTGTAAAGAGTGTGGAATGCGGGGAGACTGAAAGTCAAGCCCATTTTTTCAAACTTCCGAAGTCATAGACAGGCCAGCCAAATAGCTCAGCAGATTAAAGTGCCTATTTAGGCAGGCAGGCACGGGAGCTGGGGGTTCTATCCCCAGGTCTGCCATGCTGGCCCAGCCCCCGGGGGTGCACTGTGACAGTGATTGAGACTGGGAGTTGTGGTACGCACCTGTAATCTCAGCACTTGGGAGGCTGTAAACAGGAGAATCAATATATCAGTAGGAGTCCAATCTAGTAGTGAGACCCTGAACACCCTGTAGACTCTTCCCAAAAA